CTTGTTAGCCGTTGGGTACGTGGTGGCAAGGTAGCTTAACAACTCATTGAAGCTAGTGTCAGACCAACCATAACGAGCCTTCAACATCAACATATGGAGGTTAAAACGGAGCGCCGTGCACTCCTTCGGACAATCGCCGCCATCCTTATAGAGAGGATCAACTGCCGCCTGCTTCAACTCTCTGAAATTCTCCAACCACTTTGGGCAACCCAACACAACGTCGTCTTCATCGAAGTGTTTGACTAGATCTTCAACAAGCTGCACATCCTCGGGTTGGCTCACAGTATCCTGACCATCCCCACCATCGCCGGCTTTGTCGGCCATGTCTTGCATTAGATCATCCACCGTGATGTAATCACGACAACTGTTGTTACTGTCAGCTGGCGCAGCTACTGCTGAAGATGATGAGGAGTCGGGTGCTCCTAAAGGATCTTTATTCACTGGTGGTGCTGTCGTCGTCGGCGTCGAAGAGCTCACTCCAGATGCACCGCCACTCGCACCAACTCTTTCGCCGTGAAATGTCCAGACTGTGTAGCCCTCGACGAAACCATACATGATCAAATGAGTTTGCACATCGCTGTCTCAGTGGGCTTTCAGGTTCTTGCAACGAGAACATGGACATATGGTTTTCATCCGCTTCAGTCTCTCACGGTGAGCTTTACCAGTAGCAATAAACTTCCTTAATTCAAAGAGGTACCGCGGATCATTCACTCTATCGATCTGGTACATCCATTCCGACCTATCCATCATACCTGCGAACATTATCCGTCACAATCAACATTAAATAAAGAAGAATTAGGAGAAATTGATGATTTTTACGTCCAAAATCATGAAAAAGAGAGGAAATGCCAACAACTAGACACTGGTTTGGCGCAAATCACCATTAGCAACTTCTGGATATGTATTCTAGGACACGTCTACTTGATGCCCGGTATTAATGAACTAGATTAGACACGTCCACTTGTTTGGTTTGAAATTTTTGTTGACCAAATCAAACTGAAGCCGTGATAAAATGTGGCCTAAAAATGATATTTGGTTTTTGACAGAGCCAAAATATGGCTTGTGCCAAAATCTAGCGTAGCAAAAAAATGTTTAGATGATAACCAAGCTAAATTCTTGGTTTTTTCCTTCAAGTAAATATGGTTATGTGGAATCTTGTTTTGTAGATAAATTCTTAATAAATATTATAGTAAAAAGAAATTACAAATTGGACACATGATTAAATAGATATTAGCATTTGAAGTTTGATTATCAACTCAGTACATGCAAAAGCAAAATATAGCAATAAGAAAGAGCCTCCATACATGCAGTAGTGCCAGTGGACAGAGGTCCACACATGCCTAGAAAAGGCGAACCCCAAATGCCAGGCTTGAGGGTGCGTCTGGGAGCAAATCACTCTCGCCTGCTAAACGGTTTTTTTAGAGTGAGATTCTCTGCTGATTGTGTGAAGTGATTCTCTGAAATAAACTAAGAGGCTAAGAGCTAAAAAAAGTAGCTTCTTCTGATTATGTGAAGTGATTCTAAGAGTTTATGCTAAAGAATAAAAAAAATCATTTTTAACCTTATTATCACTTCACCGGAGAATGAGGAGCACAGCTCTGCGAAACGAACCCTCAAGCGTCGATGACCAAAGGACGTAAAAATCAGTGGAATATCCAGAAGACCCGTGGAGAAGATGAAGGGGTGGTGCTGTGTATTTGTACAGGCTTTACCGCGGCGGGCAAGATAAAGCGCCCGCCTCGATAAATCAACTCTTTACCGCAGCGAGCAGTTTAAAGGGCCCGCCACGATAAATCGTATTAACCACGACGGGCCATTCATACCGCCCGCCGTGGTAAATAACGATTTCCTACGGCGGGCAAGTAAGGTGGCCCACCGCGGTAAACCTTTTTCCCGCAGCGGGAGCCTCGGTGGCCGGCCTCGGTGGCCGGCCACCGGTTAACCGTGGCGAGCAAAAGTGGTGCCCGCCACGGAGCCCATTTTGGCCACGCTGCGCAAATTGATTCCTGTAGTAGTGAAACTTTTACCATTAGTACTACGCAACATTCTGCCTCAAGAAGTTGTTGTCCCATTGATTGACTTGAGTAGGTTCTTCAGTTCGCTTTGTTCAAAGGAGCTAGATGAAAAGGAGCTTGCTAACATGAGTGCTTCGATTGGGGAGACTCTATGTCGGCTTGAGATGATATTCCCACCTACTTTTTTGACATCATGGTACATTTGCCAGTTCATCTAGCTGAAGAGGCTTCACTTGGTGGACCTGTATGCTATAGATGGATGTATCCCGTGGAGAGATATCTGCGTACGGTAAAAGGTTATGTGAGGAACAAAGCACATCCTGAAGGCTCAATAGCGGAGGGATATAGCACAGAAGAGTGCATGACATTTTGTTCTTTGTTCTTCAAAGACATGCCAACTCGCCCAGAGCGTCATGAAAGCGCCACAGCGCCTCAACCACCATCTGGTTTGAGCGTTTTTGGTGACCTTGACTACAGTAGGAAAGGCTATAGTTTCGAGGTCTTGGACAAATCCGAGATGCTGAGAATAAGGCACTACATACTCACAAATACCGAGGAGTGTGCTACTTTGCCTGAGTGAGTTAAATTTAACATTTCAGCATGCTATTTTTTTTGTTCACATGATATATTACTAATTCTTTGCATTTTGTTTGGTCTGCCCACTACAGTGCACATAAGGCTTCACTAAAGGAATATAATCCGCATAATGTTGAGAGAAGACACAAGCAGCAATTTGTTGGTTGGTTTGAGGACAAAGTGAGTCACCAGAATTTTTTTTGTTCATATTATGATGCATGTAATGAAAGCATCTTATTAATTTTTGTTAAATGGAAGTACAGACCAAACAAGAATATGACCAAGGAAAAGCTAGTGAGGAGATGTACAACCTTTCTCAAGGACCAGATGATCGTGCTCGTGTATTCAATAGATGTTTCATCAATGGCTTCCTATTTTGGACAGTGTCGGCAGAGACGAGCTTGATCACACAAAACAGTGGTGTCCTTGTCAAGAGTGATGAAAGTACGGGTAATATGGACTGGTATGGAGTTATTAAGAAAATTATCTCTCTACAATTCACTGGTGGAAAGGAAGTGATGATGTTTCAGTGTGATTGGTTTGATGTCTCCGCTCCAACAAATAACAAAGGTAAAGGGTACAACAAAGATCAATATGGAATTATAGATATTGATACTACCCGTCTCAGATATTCAGATGATCCCTATATTCTGGCGACACAAGCAGAGCAGGTGTTTTATGTCAAACACACAAAGAAATCAAATTGGTGTAGCGTTGTTCGAATCAAACCAAGAAACCTTTTCTCCATGCCGGAATTAGCTAGTGTTGAAGAGGAAGCAGAAATTGATGTTGACTCATTGCTTGTTGGGGTGGAGGACATGACTGTTAGAAGCGATCAGGGGGACTTGATGAATTGGCGACGAACGGACATGGAAGGGGAAGCAATTGATACTTCTGTTATTCAGAAAGCAATTGCTCAGTCTGTACCATAACCAAATGATGAAGATTTTAGTGATGAGGGTGAAGATGATGTAGACGCATATATTGATGATGGAGTTGTCGCACCAGCTGGTGCGACAGATGACAAAGCTGATGATGATTTTTTTGTTTAAGTATTCACAATTTATCTTGAATGACGTTTGGACGTTCTTAGCTGATCAACAGTATGTGCTTGTACAAACGTGTGCACTATATGTGCTGCTGGTAGTTTAGTAAATAATGAAAGAACTATATGTGCTATGTCTAGTACTTTGTAAGACCGAATACAAGCACTGTATGTGCTTGAGTCTGGAACCACTAATAGAAGCCTAATGGAACCGGTATGTATATTTGCATGTCTCTTGACCTTTTCTCGTTGCATGCTTGGGTGTCCAGTCACCAAAATTCATGGAAGCCTGAAGGGTGTGCATAGGCGTGTCAATTTATTTACATGTGCTGGTGCTCTATGGACAGTTGGTCAGTTTGTTTTGGGAAGCCAGAACCGTTGGTACTCAACTTGTGTTTCCAAAATTTTATAAATGTTGTTGGAATGTTGAATTTAAAAAGATAAATATAAATTGTTAAAAAACACGTTGAATTCTAAAAGTTAAACCAAACTACAAGCTGATGACATGACCGGACGCTGTGTTCCACACGACCGGATGCGCCGGTCACAACACTACAAGCTGAAACAGTACCGCTGCAGAAATTAGCCGTTTGAACTAACCGGACGCGCCTGTGCGTCTGTTCGTTCCACAGGCTGGCATCCGACCGAAGGCAGGAGAAGGACAGCACGACACCGGACTCCTCCAAGCGTCCGGTCATCTACACCAGACGTGTCAGATGGCTCCAGGTGCTCTCTGTTCTCTTTCTGGAGGAGACCGGACGCTACAGAAGCGTCAGGAGAACCACATCGGCGCGTCTGGTCAGGGAAGTTCGAAGCGCACTAAATTTCTAACTGACTAACATCGGGAAACCTGGTGCTCAAAATTGAATCCGTGAAAACTTTTGGCAGCGCGCGCCCTCGTCCCGCGAAAAAACACCGGCTGCTAATTACTCTCCCTCCCTCCCTAATACAGAGCGGTTTATATTCCTATCCTAATCTAATCTGCATCACGGTAGAAGAGGAGCCGCCGCCCCCAACCTAGCGGTACGCATCTTCTCCACTCCGAGGCGCAATGGAGAAGACCGCACGCGCGCCGTCGTCATCTACTACCGGTAGGTCGCCGTCACTGCAGCCTCCACGGAGGCCGCCTACCAGGAGGTCACCGTCGCTGCAGCCTCCGCGGAGGACGCCTACCACGAGGTCACCGTCGCCGCCGCCTCCGCCTCCACGGAGGCCGCCTACCAGGAGGTCGCCGTCTCCTCCGTCCAAGCGGTTGCCGCCTCCTCCCTCCATGAGATTGCCATCTCCTCCATCCAGCAGGAGGTTCTCCACGCGGTCCAGCCCCAGCCCTGACGGTGTCATAGACACACCTCATCATCGACAAGATGGACCCGAGAAGCAAAAAGATGACGAACCCAGGTAATTGAATTCTATTACTAGAATTTATGTTAATTAATTGAACTACTAGAATTTCTGTTAATTAATTGGTTAGTTAATTAACAGTGTGGATGAGGAATTGGATGTTTTCTATTGTGTAATGTGTGATTGAAAACATGATGTTACAGTCCCTACAAAAATTATGTGACAATTTAGGAATTTAGATATTGGGGAAATTTGAATATGTTACTAGAAGTTTTAACATGCCATATGAAATAATCAGTCCTTTCAGAACACCAACCATATTGATACAATGATGATTTTGCCCACTTCAAAAGAGATAAAGAACATAATAGTATGTCAAACAAAATGTGGCACAATCACAGTTAGATATAAAACATCAGAGATGAAGCCTTGCAATGGATAATAGGTGAAGCAGGTTGCTTGCAGCACTTAGGAGTGTGTGCAAGGTGTTAGTATATTTTACTTAATGGCTCAGTTTGTTTTGTCATTCTAGCAATAGTTTGGCATCTTTTTTTTTTCTCCTGGATAAGCCACAAATCCTTTAAGTCTGCACATATGCAATGGTTGCATTAACAACTTCTTTCTGTCATGGAAATACACAGGTGTCATTTGATGTGTTATGGTGTGGTTTAGGTTGAGAGGGAGGGAGGGGGCCAGCCAAGCAAGAGAAAGATTTTCCTTCTAATTCCTGCATTCCTTTTCTCATGGTAGCCAATGGTATACATAGCCATTATAGGAATCCCTATCACCCCTTATAAGTTATTGTAGGCACATAGCACTTGCAGCTAACAAATTTTGACATTGACAAAATGCTATCCACTAAATTTTGACATTTGGCACATTGTTCCTGTCATTGCTCTAACTATTGGCATACACTACGTAGCTTGAACATCCATATATGCTATTTGAGTATGAGTACATTGTTTATTCATTTAACAAGTATACATGTGCATCAATTAATTTATTTCCTGACAATTGTAGGAAAACATTCCAGAAAACAAGAGATATGTGGCAAGTACTTATTGATTTCTTGGGGGGACCCCAGGACCAGAAACGTGCCATATTCTGCGAGGGACTTCATGTACTATATGAAGAGATGTGGCAACGATACAGCTTTGCTGCAGTGTATAGATTACAAAGAAGATGCATTAGCAATGATAGAAGATTGTATACAAGAGAAGAAAATTAGGATAGCAGTTCCAGACACTCAGCTAGATCAGGAAGGAGAATATGCAATCACACCGATTAAGCAACGTAGTACACATGAGGAAGTTAGTGGACAAGGAATTCAGGATGAAGACATTGATGCGTACAAGGTGTGGCTCAATAAGCTGCCACAGGATGAAAACAACCCAGGTACTAATGTACTAGAAAAATACATCTCAATGATTTTTAGGTACAGTTCTCAAACTTACACTATATATATAACATCTATATATGCATCTTGCAGAATTTAAGGATGACACCCTATGAATACTTGTTGCAACATATAAAGAATGGTTGAGGAGGAAGGGCTTCTTAAAGATATATGTAATCTGATTTTGTTTTATCTTGGCATTAGTGGAAGCCTTAATATATACATATATTTCCAACTCCATTGTAACTGTATACTTTCACTTTTTTGTATGTGTAGATGCATATTTAGATGATGAAACCATTGAAGAAGACGGAAGTGGTGACAATAGCGCAAAGCACCAATGCGATTTCAGCTCATGCTCAGTAGGCCAAAGGCCTCTCTCGAAAGTTATGCAATGGTTCAAAGTGTTCATACATTACTATAACATAAAAATGCTGATTTATAATGTTAACATACATTCCATTTTGTAACATCAATTTTACAGTAGGGGTTGGCGACAAGAGAAAGATTGGGCGAGGAACCTTGAAAGGTTTATCGGTCGAAGCTAAGAGATTTAAACTTAGCACTGAGAAACTTAGTATAGATTTCTCATCCACAAAAGGCGGTCCTATAGGAGATAACTATCGCTCGTTTGTTGATGAAATAGTTCGGTTTACAAGAAAAAGGACTCCACTTATTGGAGTTAAAAAGTGGGGAGATGTCAAGCAGATTGTTAAAGATAAAATAGCACGAGATATAATGGTACGTTACAGTCTTGCTCCCGCATATGATAAATTAATTCTTTGTAATATCTTAATTGTTCACAATTTGTTGGTCATCCCCTTTCTACAGGTTAGGTGGAACATTGAAAACAATGATGAAGAGAAGGCTAGGATATGGAAGATTGCAAAGTATCGTTACAAAGGATGGCGAGCTCAATTTAGTGCCACATACAAGGCATACAACAGTTATCATGAAAGAATGAAACATAAGCCAGATGATTTGGACATTGTGGAGTGGCACTACTTGGTGTTGTATTTCGGAAGTGAAAATTTCCAGGTTCCAAGCCTCTGACATATATGTGTTTATTGTCTGTATTTTGTAGTGCAACTAACATATCTGTGTTTATATTAGCGAATGAGCACCACAAACTCTAGCAATTCCCAGCATTGACAGACAATACATCTTACAGGATCAAAACCTTTTTCACAAGTTAGTTTTGAGCAGGTAATGATATGGAACCTAATCTTCTTCTTTTATTTTTTACCTAAACAGTAACAATGTTCAATTTTCACATCTTAGAGAAACCTGGATACTGGTGAAGAGCCAGATGGTTTGACATTTTGGAGGAGTACACGCACCAAGGAGGGCCGATGGTCTTCTGATGCTGCTAAGGAAATATATGTAAGTGCTACTTTGTTCATTAGTACTTAGTGATGTTGCAATTATATATAACATAATTATTATATTGATGGTTGTACATGCCCTGATTGGGTGATAAAAGGTCATCATCTCCTTGTCCTTGTGTTCGGTTTGGCAATTCTATCTTTATGCTATTTTCGGTTTTTCAATTTACCACTGTTCTTTTTGGTATAGCAAGTTACGATGAGCCAAATGCTTCCAAACTTTTCCTGTGGTCTCCTGGTAGCATATGCTAGCTGCTGTAATTTTTGTAGAGCATTGTTGAGTGTCAAGTGCGACCGGACGCTGGACCGGACGCACAGTTTCCGCGTCCGGTCAGTGTTGCAGAGTGGTTGTGGTCCATTTTTCGACCTGACACTGAAGAGAGTGCATGACCGGACGCACCGAGACTTGGAGTCCGGTCACGAACAAAGAGTGACCAGAGAGGGTTTTTGCTGAGCGGACGCGTCCGATGATGTGTGACCTGACGCACATGCGCGTCCGGTCAGCTCAAACGGCTATTTTCTGCTGCTGTACTATTTCAGCTTGTATTGTTGTGACCAGCGCATCTGGTCGTGTGCAACTGCGCGTCCGGTCATGTCATCAGCTTGTAGTTTTGTTTAGCTTTTTGAATTCAACGTGTTTCTATCGTGGTTACTATTGTTGTCTTCATCCATTTACTTGCCTTGTCATTTCCAACAACCTAATATGTAGACTCATCTCATGTACCTAATATCGTACTTATGCTTTATGTAGTTAAGTTATGTTCTTTAAAGTGATTTGAATAGAGCTGGGCTACTTGGTAAAACGAGTGTCCAGTGATGTATGTTCTCATAACATGTTTTATTCATTTATCTCCAATGTCATACATATCTCTGAAATGCTAGCGTTCAACTGTCCATTGCTTTCTCATAACATGTTTTATTCATTTATCTCCAATGTCATACATATCTCTGAAGTATCCATTTTACCTAATTCTTATTATACTTGAATTGGAACTGTTGTTGCTACTTGCTAAAGTTGAATACACTAATTGTGTTCTTAAATTTAGGAAAGCGCCTTCTCCAAAGTTACAGAGAGAATTGAGTTGGAAGCTTCTGTGATTTCAAAAGAACAAGAAAGGCACATTCTTCATGAAACCTACAAGGAAACCACTGGATGCAGGAGCAGGAAAGGTCCTGGACATGGATACATGGCAAAGTATCCGACCCAAAGCCAACTTATGAATGAACGAAATGAAGAGCAGGCTCGTGCATCTGCATTAGCAGCAGCAAGCAGCCCAACAAAGAATATTGAGATGCAAGTGAGGTAGACAAGTTAAAAGAACACTTACTGCTCAAGCCACCGAGAGGGAGAGTGACAAGGAAAAAATTCAGCAGCTGCAACATCAACTAGAGAGTACAAGTAGCAAGATTAGAGAAGAACTATGGCAAGAGTTTTTTGCACTAATCAAACAACAGAATCAAGCACCGCCTTTGGTACTAATACTACTTCTTAATTGTTACCAACATCATTGTTTTTAGTAAAGCTTGATTGCTAATGTTTCTCCTTATAACTCCAATGCTAGAATGCTGCACCAACCACAACAGCCCCTCAGCCTACAGAAACAACCACTCATCCTTCAGAATTCACAACCAATGCTACTGGTATTGAAAATATGGTTAGTGGAAATGAAGGTGCAGATTTAGCGCAGGTATTATTTTTTTGATGAATGCAAACTGCAATGTAATGGATACCTACATTTAATCTTACATAATGTGTGAATCTTTTTTTTTAATACGAAGGCTGCTGTTAGTGCAAATGAAGTTGCAAATTCGGCACAGGTACTATTTTTTGATAAATGAAAACTGTAATGTAATGAAAAAGGATACCTACATTTAATCTTGAGGTAATGTGTGCATTTTTTTTAAATGAAGGCTGGTACAGAATCTGCGCTGGGCATACATAATGCACCTTCTAATGGGCCTGCTGTTGTTCCCACTCCTAGCCAAGGACCAGAACAAGTGCAAAAGGTAATATACTTCAAAAATATCACCTGTACTTTAACAGATTCTTAGAATTGCTAAGTGGTGATTGCTGCTTCAAATCTTCTTGTTTTTGAAGACTGTAGAAGACAGTGAATTAGTGAGCAATAAGATGAGTATCCAACCTAGTCGCCTCACTCGCAGCAATGCCAACAGATCACTTTTTCCAAATGATAAAGGCAGTAATGAGTCTTTGAAGTTTATTACTTCACATACACTGAGGAATAATGCTGCAAGTAAAAAGCGAGTTTTGAGAAATAAATGAGGGTCAAAATCTTATACATGAATCAAGTGTCATTTTAAGTTGTTGTCCAGATTATTAACATGAACTTTGTTCACTTATACATGAATCATGTGTCCTTGCTGCTGCTGCTGTAAATTTTGCAAAGAAATACATGAAACTTGATAAGTTTTGCAGCGAGAGCACAGAAAAGTTAAACATGTCCTTGCTGCTGCTCCTGCTAGCATTCCAATTTTGATTAGATAGTGAACAGCTTTAACTGACAGTGTCAAGCTGCTGTAGAGTGTTGCTTTCCACACCGGTGGGATTGGTGAGTTCTAGTAGTGCCATGACCCAGTTGGATTGGTCCCTGTGCCTATGCTGCTATTAGTCTTTGAGGACTTCATTTTAGTGATGCTACTTTGCAATGAACAACTGATGTTTGGCTGGATGGTACTGCAATCATTAGGATTTTGCAAGTTACTGATTTTATTCCCTAGATGGTCTTACTGGATTCTAGTGTTATGCTCTTTATGCTCAAACCTGCTGAAAGTGTCCAATGTTAATCAACTCCCCTGTTCTCATGTAAGCATGAGTAAAACCTTGATTAGCATCTACCATGCTGTCTATGTTTGATTCCAACTGTGTGATCAACTGTATATATTACTAATGCATGTCATTTTGACTTTTTTAGGAAGATCAACCTTGAGGGAGTCTTGGCAAGCTGAAATGAATCTAATATTGTGCAACGAGAAAGATATCATGTTGATCTGTGCTAAGAGACATGTATTTTTGTTTATGATTGCCTATTTGTAGCATAAGTTAGTGGTTTGTAATGCAGTTCAACTTTGCAATTACCTATTTGGAAATAGGAAGGCATTTGACTTCCTCACATTGTACAAATTATTGAATGCTTATGATCCAAGTTACTAATATGATTGCCTTTTTGTGCCATTGAATTTTGTAATTTTATGAATTTCTGTGCAATGAATCCGATGCAATAATTGGTTGTCCTCCCAATCTCATGTCGATGCAATAGTTCGTATTGCAGCGAACCAAAATGGTGATGCAATAGAACCTCTTGCATCCAATCTCATGTCGATGTAATAGTTTGTATTGCATCCAACCTCGTGTTGATGCAATAGTTCGAATTGCATCAAACATAAAGTCGATGCAATAGTTCGAATTGCATCAAACATAAACTCGATGCAATACTTCGTATTGCATCGAACCAAAATGGTGATGCAATAGGTTCTATTGCATCGAACCTAATATCGATGCAATATAGTCTATTGCACCGAACGTTGGCCGTTGCAATAGATGTATTGCATCAACATGATTTGGATGCAAAAAGCTATTGCATCTCTCAATTTTGATGCAATAGACAATGGACGGACGATGCAATAGCTGCTTCTCGCATCAACCACAAGTAACCGATGCGAAAGGCTATTGCATCAAGACCACTTGCATCGGCTGGCATCAAACGAGAAATTGATGCGACATCGAACTATTGCATCTATTTTAGACCTATAACATCAAAAATTGGCCGGTGCAATAGGGTCAAAATTTAGTAGTGGTGGGGCACAAGCGCTAATGTCCCCGAGCCTCAAGATGGCGAAGAAGAGGAAACCATGGCCGTAGATCAACCAGCAGGCAAAAGTCACCAAGTAAACCCTAACGCGACGCCAGAACAACTGCTCCAGCAGCTACTAGCCGATCTGCAGCGCGCACAACAAGAAAGAGACATGCTTGCTGTAGCCTTCGATGCAAACTAGAGAGCGATGCAAATGTCCCAGCAAGCATCAGAGGTCCATCAGTAGCTAGCAATCTTGCAAGTTGAAATACAAAGTCTACAAACCAACCAACCCCTTTCCAATAACTCCAATCAAACCCAACCATCACCTCAAAGCCAATCTAACCCTTGGTCAAGCCTTGTAATTCAGCCGACCTTCGGCACCCCCTACAACCTCCCACCACTCCAAAGATCGATAGATCCAAAGTCCCCATTGTCCGAAGGACTCCAGAGCTCACCATGGCCACCTTCCTACAAACCTATTACCTTGCCAAAGTTCAACGACAAAATAGACCTAAGACAGTTCATCATGAGTTTTGAGGCAGCCATAGCCTCCGCCGGCGTCAACGACACCATCCCAGCAAAGTCATTTGTCATTGCAGTCGAGGGTGATGCCCTCGCTTGGTACTCTATGTTAAAACCCACATTAGTATATTCTTGGGAGAACCTTCATGACAAGATCATGGCAAAGTTCAAAGAATTCTCAAGTGAGTCCCTCACATCCTCAGACCTCTTCCAGTGCAAGCAGCAGCAAGGAGAAACTCTGAGAGAATTCTATCAAAAATTTGTACAGCTCAAAGCAAGAGCACCAAATGTCCCAGAAGACATAGCCATTGAAGCAGCTATCAAGGGCCTCCACATTAGAGCCTTCGCAGGCCACCTGGCCAGAGAATAACCTTCGACCACCGAGCAGCTATACGATGAGTTCAACAAATACTGTAGATCTGATAATGACCTCCGCAAAAGATTTGAAGATCAAGAGCAATACAAGCAAGCTCAAAACAGCAACAGATCCACACCAAGAGAGAACAAGGGCCAAAACTAGTCATAGCGAGGGCCAAACCAGCATGTCTTCAATATAAGCAATCAAGGCAACAATCAGCAACACCAACAGCCTTCGTTGGCTAGCCAAAGTAGTAGGTCACAGAACTAGCAAGACAACAAAAGAGACAACCAAAGTAGATACTGGAACAGAAACCAGAATCAAAAGCCGCAGAGCCAGTACTATTTCTTCCATGTGGAAAATAAAGGACATATCACCAGAGACTACCCAGATGCCAAGGAAACACAAGAGAGGATAAAGAGCAAGCATACCCCACAGCCTCTGCTGCCGCAGCCCACAAGAGAGATCAACCACACCTCCACCGTACCTTGGTCGCAACAACAATATTGCCCTATATACACAAGCCTCCACTCTTGCCAAATACACCCATCCACCCTAGCAGCAGCATACTACCAAAACTTTCTGCCAGCCTGGCGACACAATGCTCAGCAACCACCACAATAGGGGAAGCCTAGTAACTATCGAACCGAGGCCAACTTAGCATATGTAAACTCCAGGCCTCCGCACAATACCTATATGGAGACAAACCAACCTATCCAAGCACCATCTAGGCAGATGCAAGCCTTACCCCCACCTCCGCCAACAACTCAAATGGCTACCACAAAGAGTGAACCCCTCCCAGAAAACCAACTCAACCCACATACTGCCTTACCAACCATCGGCATGATATTACCAATTGCCGGAGGCTCATCACTTGAGTTCCAAACAAAGAAGTAGAAAAAGGATCACTACAGACTAGTCATCAATGTGGCAGTTCAAGGCCTAGTCCACCATACAGACTAGTCAAAGACACCGCTAATGTTATCTGAGCAAGACCTAAACCTAGAAAGCTACCCTCACGCCGATGCGATGGTGATCAAGGCCAATATCGCAGCATGGGAAATCAGTAGAATACTAATAGATTTGGGAAGCTCAGTGGACATCATCTTTGTCAATGCCTTCGATTAGATGAAGCTAAATGGAAACCAATTGCAGCCTTTAGACTCTCCATTGGTTGGTTTTGGAAGCAAGAGAATTGAAGCTTTGGGAAAGATCTCCCTGCCTATGTCTTTCGGAGACTTGCAGAATGCGAGAACAGAATATGTAACCTTTGACATCGTCGGCCTCCACTACCCATACAATGCAATCTTTGGCAGAGGTTTTGCAAACAAGTTCAGCGTTGCCATACATACAGGGTACCTCTATATGAAAATGCTAGCCCTCCATGGCGTCAACACTGTCTATGGCAGTTAGAAAGAAGCAAGAAACATAGAAAGAGCAATACACAAGTATAAGAGAAACGTTAATTATGTTTAGGAAACGAGCACCACTCCAGAGCCTCCGGACATGCCAAGAGGGAAAACCAACCTCAAGGAACAAGAAGAAACAAAATCAATCCCCCTCGAAGGTGCACTCCCAGATAGGAGGGTCACTATCGCAACCAACCTTTCTAGAAAAGAAGAACAAGAACTCCTTGAAGTCCTCGCCAAAAATAAGGACATCTTTGCTTGGTCAGCCTCCGACCTACAAGTAGTCAGCAGAGATATCATACAACATTCTCTAGATATCAACCCAAACATGAAACCAAGAAAGCAAAGGCAGAGGAAGATGTCAGAAGATAGAATCTTGGCAGCAAAAGCTGAAGTGAAGAGATTGCTATACGCGAAGGTAATCAGAGAAGTCAAGTATTTAGATTGGCTGGCGAATTTGGTACTAGTTCCAAAAAAGAATGGAAAGATGAGGATGTGTATAGACTTTACAGATTTGAACACAGCTGGCAAGAAAGACCCATTTCCATTGACAAGAATCGACACCTCTGTCGATAAAACCACCGGTTGTAGGCGTTTCTCTCTATTAGATTGTTTCTCAGGATACCACCAGATATGGCTAAACAAGGAAGATCAGGATAAGACAAGTTTCACAACCCCTTTCGGCACATATTGTTTTGTCAGAATGACCGAAGGCCTCAAGAATGTAGGCTCAACTTTTGCAAGAATGAACAAAGTGGTTCTTGGGCCTCAGCTACAGACAAACATCATAGCTTATGTCGACGACATCGTGGTCATGAGCAAAAAAGAGGAAGACCACATTGAGGACCTCAAGGAAACCTTCGCAAACCTCATAATGGCGGGGCTCAAACTAAACCCAGAGAAATATGTTTTCGGAGTAAGCAGAGGAAAGATGCTCGGTTGCATAATAGGGCCCAAAGGCATA